ATGCAGCTAGTCTACAAGTTTTGGGTAGTTAAGGATAAACGCATTTAGATTTACAGACAATGTACAACGCAATTTATTTCAATTTATAACTTTTGGATTTGGTACTGTATTCTTTATAGATACACCTTGTATTACTGGGTAGAAGTAAGGAAGATACACCCTTTCTCCGAGATACACCCTTTATTATTGAGGAAAGTATGGAAGAAAAACCCTGTATTGTTGGGTGGAAATAAGAAATAATCACCCTGTATTGCTGGGTGGAAGTAAGGAACAAACACCCTGTATTGTTGGGCATGGAATTAAGTAACAAACACCTTGTTTTGTTGGGTGGAAGGGAGGAACAAACACCCTGTATTGTTGGGCGGAAGAATGCAGGCTTTAAGCTTTCATTGATAAAGGTTTTTTTCTTTATAAAAGTTTCAGGTTAAAAGTTGTAAAGATATCAGTGGAGCTGTCCAGAACTTTTTACTTGGTCAGATAGACAGATAGATAGATAGATAGATATAAAGATACTAGACAGATAGAAATATAGTATATCTATCTTTTATACGAGTATATCCATCTTTTATACGATATACAAATAAATTTATACTTTGCTTGTCTGGGTGTTTTTTTTGTTTTGTTTGTATCCAATAAACCAAATTTTGTGTGGGACCTCACGTGACCCCAGGGAAGTTTTATGAATGATTAAAATTTTAAAAATTTGTATTCAAAAGTTTTTATTTTTGTAAAATTTTGAAAATGTGCGTAAAAATTCTCCGTCTATACTGTAGCCTCCTCCACATCTCAACCCAAAGAGAATAGAATATATATTAGAGTGGAAAAGTGTAAAACGGCCATTTTGTTGTACTGTTTCCATACTGCAGGTGTACTTCACATATTTGTTCTATATCACCTTTTGGGCCCTGAAACATCATTTTATAGAGAATCTAAAATGAATATTAAAAGAAAACCAAATTATGAAATAGGCTGGCTTCATAATTGACCATTGATCATTTCACATAGACTCTATTCCTTTCTCTTTATCTGTATCGATGCTCGTACCCTCTTGTTATGGTTGACGAGGCATAAGAGCTATTCAGTTTGGTAATACTTTACTATCAATTTCAATCCGGACACGAGTTTATCTGTATTGATACTTGTACCCTCTCGTTTTGGTTGACGAGGCATAAGATTTTTTCAGTTTGGTAATACTTTACTATCAATGTCAATCCGGACAAGACTTCAGTTGCTGAACCTAAACCTCGAGTAATATATCATATCCACAACAGCTCCCTGCAGTACAGGATTACTGCTCCCAATGATATCTGGGGAAATTATCCCTGCATTACATGCAAAGCTACTCCACACAGCTGCAAAACTGGCTTGAGATATCCACTGTTGATGACTTCCTCGATATTAAACGGATGGCAAGGAAAAAGATATGAGAACGAATATATTGGAGATGATATCCACATGGAATGTGTTGGAATCCCTGGAGGTACTGTGAAATCACTCCATCATGCCTTCTGCTGTGAATACTCTAACCAGGATATCATCGTAGATGTTCTTCTTGTTGCTGGTCTAAACGACATACTGCGTGATACTGAACCTGGAGATATAATTGAAGAAATGAGAAGATTCAGAGCATCAGTTTATGGGATGAAGAAATTAAAGCATTGTTCTCCTGGAAGCTTTGCTGCTGCATGCCTTCCCCTACCTCCTAAGATCGCAGTTCTTCCTAAAGAAAATAGAAAACTTCGTTCAAATAAATACGACGACCTATGTCTATTGAATGAAATGATCAAGATTTTCAATCGAGAGGAGACTATTTCCAGGATGCCTACTGTGTGGGCTCCTAGGTTTTATACTTGGGGCCTGAAGGATGTTAAGAACAAGAAAGGAGTAAAGATTGGTCCAAGAGAAAGGCTGGCCTCCAAAGTAGGAGTCAGGAAAACTCATTACAGAGAAGATAAAGCCTGCAACATGCTACATCTCAGTGATAAAAAGAGATTAGACATGGGGAAATCCTGCCTCAAGTACTTCATGTACATCTACAAGATCATCATCCGAAATGATTCCCGTACCTAAGTTAATTAGAACTGAAACTTGCTGAATCCAAGCTAGCCAAACCCAGTTGTTTTTGTTGAAAACTAAGAGAATAATACCTGATCCAGAGCTGTGCGATAAGCACTTATGCATTTTAGCACTAGGCGTTTATGCAATTACGCCCTTATTAATAATTTTTGCTGATTTTTAAAGTTTTTCTCTCCTATTTCTTTTATTAAATATATTATCTTTGCTAAAATAAAAGGGCGACCAAGCCACTTTGCAAATTCATAAATCCATAGTTTTTGCAGATTTATTAAAAGTTTATTTCTATTTCTTCGAAATCACGTTTTTGTACTTTATCTGTAACTATAGAGGGAGACCAAGCCACCCTATACCTATAATTATATTTTAAGTGTATAAGTGTTCTTTTGTTTTTAATAAAGTATTTGAGAAGAAGAAAACTTTATCTGTATCAATACTTGTTCCCTCTCGTTATGGTTGACAAGGCATAAGAGCTATTCAGTTTAGTAATACTTTACAATCAATCTCAATCTGGACATGACTTTATCTGTATCAATACCTGTTCCGCCTCGTTATGGTTGACGAGGCATAAGAGCTATTCAGTTCAGTAATACTTTAAAATCAATCTCAATCTGGACACAACTTTATCTGTATCGATTCCTAATCTATTTCTATCTTTCTAGAGAGTGATTCAGGATGCTTCTAATTTGCTAACCAAGAAGTGATTACACTATTTATCTCACAGGTTAATTTAATGTATGCAAAATTTCCACAGATATATATAAGCATAGTTAAACTAATCACAATACAGGTTTAACATAGTCATTTACAGACGTAACTAGGCTAGGTTAATCTCATTACAAGTTTTGCGTAGTTAATTATTAGCGCATTTAGATTTACAGACAATGTACAACGTCATTTATCTAGGTATGTTTAAATGTATAACTATGGGATTTGGTAGGGTATTTATTATATATAGACAGTATTTCAAACTGTTGTAGAGTTGGTAGGTTTATTTCGAGCTCATGTCTTTGTTCTTCATTCCTCTCTTTATTTCTGCACACTTACACAGGGGGTGGGGGGTAGGGGGGTGCAAATATATATAGAGTTTCGCAAGGGGGGGGAGATCACAAAGAATTGATTTAATGTATGCATTTGGACGGGTGAGGGGGGGGGGGAGGACATTGAAATGTTTTGTACATCGGGGGTTGATCGGAATTTAAAAATAAGAAGAAAGTGGTTGAAATAAAATTCAAAAATAGAGTTAGGGGGTTTAAAAGGTGGTGTTGAGGGGGGCTATAAGGGGGGAGAATGAAAGTAGGCGGAAATAAGAATTGTTAGTTTTTCATGATAATGACTTTCTAACGAATGTTTAGTTTAACTTTGTTTGTTATTGATTTATTTTTCTTAACTGTAAAATTTATCATTTAAACATAGAGTTTATTATTTAAACAATAAAGATTATTAACTAAACCAAGAATTTTATCATCTGAACTATGGAGTTTATTTTCTGAGCCATGGTGTGTTTATTATCTTAACCATGGAGTTTATCATCTAAACATAGAGTTTATCATTTAAACCATGGAGTTTATTATCTAAACCATGAAGTTTTTCTTCTAAACCATGGAGTTTATTATCTAAATTTTGGAGTTTATTATCTAAACCATTGAGTTTATAATCTAACCCGTTGAGTTTATCATCTAAAATGTATAGTTTATCATTTAAACCATAGAGTTTATCATCGAAACCATAGAGCTTAATATCTAAAACATGGAGTTTATCATCAAAACCATGGAGTTTATCAACAAAACCATGCAGTTTATCATCTAAACCATTGGAGTTTATTTTTTGAACCATGTAGTTTATTATTTAAACCATTGAGTTGATCATCTTCACCACAGAGTTTATCATCTAACCAATGGAGTTTATCATCTAAACGATGAAGTTTATCATCTTAACCATGGAGTTTATTATCAAAAACCATGGAAGTTTAATTACTATCTAAACCATGGAGTTTATCATTTAAACCATGGAGTTTGTTATCTAAACTTTGGAGTTTATTATATAAACCATCATGTTTATAATCTAAATCATTGATTTTATCATCTAAACCATAAAGTTTATCATTTAAACCATAGAGTTTATCATTTAAACCATAGAGTTCATTATTTAAACCATAGACCTTATTATCTAAAACATAGAATGTTTCATCTAAACCATGGACTTTATCATCTAAACCATGGAGTTTATTTTCTGAACCATGAAATTCATTATCTAAACTATTGAGTTTTTCATCTAAACAATGGATTTTATCATCTAAACCATTGAGTTTATCATCTTACCACAAATTTTATCATCTAGACAATGAAATTTATAATCTAAACCATGGAGTTTATTATCTAAACCATGGAGATTAAATATTATCTAAACCATGAAATTTATCATTTAAACCTTGGAGTTGATTATCTAAACCATGGAGTTTATCATCTAAACCATGAAGTTTATCATCTAAACTATGGAGTTTATCTTCTAATCCATGGAGTTTATCATCTAAACTATGGAGTTTATCATCTAAACCACGGAGTTTATTGTCTAAACCATGATGTTTATCATCTGAACCATGGATTTTATCATCTAAACCATGAAGTTTATCATCTAAACTATGAAGTTTATCATCTAAACTATGAAGTTTATCTTCTAATCCATTAAGTTTATCATCTAAACTATGGAGTTTATAATCTAAACCTTGGAGTTTATAATCTAAACCATGGAGTTTATTATCTAAACCTTGGAGTTTATTTATTATCTAAACCATGGAGTTTATTATTTAAACCATGATGTTTATCATCTAAACCATGCAGTTTATTATTTAAACCATGATGTTTATCATCTAAACCATGCAGTTTATTATCTAAATCATTTAGTTACATAAACAAATTTGAGTTGAGTTACATATTTTCTTAAATTTATATTTTATGTTGAACCAAATGTACATGTATCTTATTTAATCTTCGTCTTCTTCTTTTTTCTTCTCTCATAAATCTAAAAAAGAGTTTTTCCAAATACTCTATCAAACTTTGTTGCATAACACTCACTGGGTTAAATTAATACTGGGTAAATGAGACAGACTGGTACGAGAATAAATACGTAAGTACCATAAATTGCACTAAACCGTTAAATCCTTGTACTAGTTCGGATCATGAAACGATTGTTCTCATGTGAATTGAAGCTATAACTTTAAAAAATCAACAAAAAAATCTAGTCATGTAGACAAGTTAAAAAAAGCGCAAAGGTTTGAACAATTATTACCTTTTACAACCTTTCATCTGCAACTTAATTTCTTCCCATAGTGGTAAACATAAAATTTCAAGTCCAAACACTAAAATAAGGAAATAAAATAAATATAAGCTTAATTTTTATAAATAAAGAAAGTGATGATGTCAGATTAAAGTAAATTTTCAGTAAGATTGAAATCTTTTATGTTTTTAATTTATTTTATTTTATTGATGATTTATTGAGAAGATTAAAATAGTTTTGATTACAAGTATGTAACCAAATATTTTTTGTTTTTTTTTTTAAATAAGGAAGTTACAAAAATATAATCACAAACATTTTTGATAAACCTCAAAAAATTATACCTTTTCATGATGAAAAATGCTTGCCAAATTATTATTTGTCAAATGTTCTTCGTTTTTCAATGAAATATTAAGATAACTTAAAAAACAAATTTTTCTCTAAATACTTAAAACATTTCATTCAAAGTAAAGTCCAATGATGTCCAGTTCGAAAAAATAAAGTTTCAATAAAAAATATGCGGAAATAACTATTGAAATTATAAATAGATGCATTTTTAATTATCATAAACGGTGTACTGACAACTGTTAAATTTAAGATATTAAGATTAAATGCTAGTTTAAAATTGTAATCGAAGAATCCTACCTATATGGCTAGAGATTGGCATTGTTTTTGTTAATGAACGAATTTTTTGTGAACGATGGTCTTGTTTAGAAAAATACGAATGATGCACAAACAAACTGGAACGTTCTGAGTAAAGAAAAACGACAGTTTTTTAAAAGAGAACGAAAAAACTAACGATTTAAAATCGTTCCAACAAAATAAAAAACTAACATAGTTTTTACTAACTAACGAATTTTTTAAACAAACTTTTGAAAGAATTTGCGATTTTTTTACCGAATGAACGAATTTTTGGACCGAACAATTTAACTGAACGATTGTGCACTGTGAACACGAATGAATGATACGGACTTGAACGAAAATTTTGAGAACGAACAAACTCATTTTTGTGAATGATTGAAAAAACGTGGAACGTGCATATCCCTACCTATGGCCGCTACTATCCCCCCTCCGAGCATCATTTGAAATGTCATCGACACCTCGTAAAGAAATATCTTTTTCGGCTCCATTCCAACAACCTCCTGAATACAATACAATCTTAAAACTGTGGGTTGTGAAGACGACATATTATCAATAGCATGTACATTTGTTGTTTTAAGGCAAATGGCAGTATAGCTTTAAGATAAATCATTGTTTTCTACAAATTTGAACTAAAACCTCTAGGTCTTCAATAATAACTTGGGACGGCTTCATGGTAAAATGGATTTAGTTAATTTATAAATTGAGGTGATATATGGGTATTTAAAAAATATAAATATATAATTTTCCTTTCTAACCTTGCAGGCAGATTCCAAGTCAATGTTGGGTGAGGTAACATCCGTTGAGTGTTCTATAAGACCTGAAAGCACGATTCTATAATGTAGAGTAAGGTTAGATACTCGAGATATGCAAAACCAATTTACGAGAAATGTCGTCTTCAAATCAAGGAACACTTAAATCCTAATTGATGCTGAAGTGGCAACGTGCTGGCGAGAGTGGGACACATTGCCAATTGAGAATTTTAATTATACATTGCTAAGGAGACAACATAGCTCACGTAGAAACCGTATGATCTTTAAAAACTGACATAACCTAATAAATTATACAAAGTTCCCAACATAACATGAAAATTCAAAGGCGACCGAATATGATATTAAATTTCTAGTAAAAGAACAAGCAAAAGTCCCCCCAAAGTAATAAAAATTCAATTAAAACACTGTCTGGTTATTTGATCTCAGGCTAGGGCATATTTTCTATTTCAACTTTGAATTGTAGCATTCTCTCCTCGTAAAATATGAAACCATTACGAACAATTTTGCGGCTTTCATAATATTTTTGGAGCAAATTTTGAAAATCTTGCGAAAATTAATTTTTTGGAGCAAATTTTGAAAATCTTGCGAAAATTAATTTTTTGGAGACAATTTTTTTAAATGCTAAGCATTTATAAACCTTTCCCGGGGTCATGTAAGATACCTCGAAAATGTTTGGCCAGATCGGTTCAGCAGGTTTTTTTTTACGTTTTTTAGTTACAAGCAGATAGACAAGCAAAGTATAAATATAAGTTATGAATGGTCGTTTTTAAACTTTGATGTGGTTAAACCTGATTGTAGAAGTTTCTGAAGAACTTTGTTAAACATTTCCTGTAGTTGTCTACTCTCTTTAGGAAATATCAATCCAAGTGAAACCTTTGTAAAACATTTTTTAATAAATCAAAGTATGTTAAAAAAAATTTAAATGTTTCATGGAATTTTTTGAAAATGTTGTCATTTACAATTTTACTTTACTTACAGTTTGCAAGAACTTAGGTGTTTGATTGCAAGAACAGGTTATTGGGATCGACTGTATACGTTATTTCAAGTGACCTCTATTTGTGGTGTGTCCGAAACACAACGGGAACCTCTTACATGGCAAATTTTATTTTATTTTTTTCTGTTTTAAAAAGTGTTTAATTACAATTATTTCCTTCATTAATTACATTCATTGAAAATATAACATTTTTATGCAGGTCAAAGCTTTACAAAGTACGCTGTCAATTGGACATGCCCCCCCCCCTTGAAAACAAAAAAGCTTTAATTTTCAAAATTGCATTTTACCTTTCCAAAAGTGTACTTATTTAGCTGAGAATAGGTGCAGGCAGAGCTCCCCTCTCTTTTACCCTCTTTTTTATAATCCTAAAGTAAAAATACATTTTTGCAAAAAAATTTTAATGTTGTAAAAAAATAGATTTAAAGAAAAAAATTCTAAATTTTACCCAACGGGTACCAATGGTTTTCTCAAAAAATGTCAGCACATTCAGTCATGCCGTTTGGCCAGTTATAGCTGACATATATTATATTATGTACAAATGTAT